ATAAAGTCAGCTCTCATTTATCCACAAAAATGTATCCAACAGCAAACCAGCAAGTTTGCAAACAGAATTTATTGTATTCTTCCTGTTTGATTTGCTAACATATTTCCAACTTAATACCTACTTGGTACTTTCCTTTTTGACCTGCCTTCTCAATATTTCACTTTCTCTGTTTATACTCTAAAAGGATGTAAAGACTTACAAGCCCACCATCACCAGTCCTTTTCTAGGAAAAAGCAAAAAGGACAGTTCTGCCTCAGCTGCTACATTTAAGAAGAAATGATTCATGCTTAGCATGCAGTGAGAATCAGAAAAGAACAGGAGGAGCAAACAACAGTATCCATTCCAATGAAAGTTTATTAATTTGTATGAAGTCAATTTGTGACTCATCCATATTCAAATGAATGAACAAAAACAAATTCCAAAGCTAAATATAAAATGACTTTTGGACTATCCAGGTTTCTGCTTGTTTCCACTTTATGGACAAGACAAGGCTGTGATGCTGGCAATACACTAACACTCTCAGGCCACCAAGATCCCACTCAGTGGCTACAGTTATTTATCAAGTAGGTCAAAGAAGTTTAATATAATATTACTACAAATATTACTACTATTTGTATAGTATACAAAAGAGCTACTGAACCTCCTGACTACAGCAATCAAGTAGTGACAGGAGACCAGGCCAGAGCTGACTCATGATTTACATTTAACCAGCCTTAAAAAGCATTCAACTTTAGAACCTGAAACATCCTTAAAGATCATATAGTCAGCCCAACATTATCCTTTTACAGATGATATTTAGGCCCCCCGCAAAAGATTAATTAACTTACCCAAGGTTGGGCAGCTTCATGGCAGCAAAACCAGCCCCAGGCCTCTGAGAAGCAATCTAGTGCTTTCTGTAAAATACAGCATCCCACTCCTGGAGAATATGCTGAAGGAACTGATCTTGTACATGTGAGGCAATTTTTTTTTTTCCAGAGTTGGGTGATAGGAAAGGGCTATGTAGTTATATGTGGAGAGATATTTACTTGCTCCATCAACCCTAGCTAAAATGCAGATCTTATTTCATAGGCATAAATAATATCCTGAATTTATCACACATGCGTAATAACTTTTCTCTCCCAAATCACTGTGGCCTTCCAGAGTTTACCAACGACTGGGGAAAACATGACTAAGCAATAAACTATCTTTTTAACCAGATTGCAAGCCTGTCCTGTTATTTATTAATGGATAGAAAAATATTATTTAATGAGATTAAAAAATAATATTAGCACTTATACTATTTTTTAAAATAAATTTATTTATTTATTTATTTTTGGCTGTGTTGGGTCTTTGTTGCTGCACGCAGGCTTTCTCTAGCTGCGGCAAGCGGGGGCTACTCTTCGTTGCAGTGCACGTGCTTCTCATTGTAGTGGCTTCTCTTGTTGTGGAGCACAGGATCTAGGCGCACAGGCTTCAGTAGTTGTGGCATGAGGGCTCAGTAGTTGTGGCTCGCAGGCTCTAGAGCACAGGCTCAGTAGTTGTGGCGCACGGGCTTAGTTGCTCTGCGGCATGTGGGATCTTCCCGGACCAGGGCTTGAACCCGTGTCCCCTGCATTGGCAGGCGGATTCTTAACCACTGCGCCACCAGGGAAGTCCAGCACTTATACTATTAAGTACTCTTTCCCTCTCTGGTTTTTACTCTTTTCTAAAATTTTCTGTAACATAGAAAGTCTTTCCTGATCTATTATCTACTTTTTCCTTGTTAAACATTAATATTCTAATTCACATGAGCCTTTTTCTAAAACTTCTAAGAAATCATAATTCCAAAATCTCTTTGCCTAGCTTACTTCTGCATATACGTAGTGTTATATAAATCTATTTAAACGTATCTTAGAAAAGATAAGAAACTCAAGAATTTATGTGTTTAACTGGTTATACATAGGTGCCGTGGTTCTCAATTTTTTAAACCTTAAGAAATTTTCCCAAAAGAAGTTGATATTAACATTTCCTAGCTTACAGCATCCCATTCTTCATTGAGAGGAAGCAGCATAAGTGAAAGTACACATAGAGGGGGAAAGACTGTAGAAAAGTCAAACCAAAAGTCTGTCAGGGGAAAAAAAAAATCATAGCAAATCTTCCTACACGGCTATAATAGGTACAGGCCAAGCTGCAATTTCCTTGTATCACCATGTGGCTGGCTGGGCTTGTGGTGGGCACTATACTCAATCAGGAGTGTTAAAAGTTGAGGTAAAGAAAACAAACCACTCATGTCAAAAATATCCTAATCCATATAACTGGTTAACTTATATTATGCCTGTTCTCTCTTCATATTCAAATTTAGATGGGAAATATTTTATGGATATTTACTATCTCTGTTAAACTTAGGTGCCACAGAAATTTCAAAGATATGTGAGACATGCTTTTGAAGCTTATAGTTCAACAGGGCAATAAGCTGTGGACACAAGAGCACAAAAAGAAGGCAGTAAAATAAGAACTTTATGAAAGACTAAAGCACAATCTGAGTTCATTTCTTGAACTAGTTTTAGAGGAAGGGTAAGATTTCAATCAGCAGAGAAGAAGGGAATGCCATAAAAAGGAAAACTATGAACAAATGTGGAAGGGTAAAAGGATGTCTGAAGAAATGTGAGGATAACAGTTTGACTAGGATAGGAAAATTCTGTGGAAATAAAGAGGCCAGGATGTGGAGGCTTTGGGGTTTTATTTTGGAGACATATCCAGCTGCTGAAGATTTTTGAGCCCAGGAGTGATATAACAAAAGCCGTATTTTAGGAAGAATAATCTGGCAATGATAGAATTGATAAGGAAGGGATAGTATGCAGGTAGGTCAGACAGAAAACTACTACCATTGTCCCATGTTCCTAAGCCCAGTAATTTAAGTGTATAAGTCAATGTCAGCCCAAGCTACCAAATTTTATATACATATCTTAAATGTAGTATAGAACTTCTATAGTGATTCAGGAAAACATGGACTTACACACAAGTCTTTTAATTTTCTTTCCTATCTTCACCTTAGGTAACAACTTCTGGCTTGGAATTTTCATTTCACCTTTCCTCACCCAATTTTTGTATCAGCAAGACTCATCATCATTCTTTACATATTAGCAAAATCAACAAGATTTACATGTCAGTGATTAATCAGAAGAGTCTTTAAAGCAATTCTAAATCCCATTTTGTTAAAGTAACTGCTTTATATCACACACAATAAATTTCCCCCAAATTTATATTTTATTTTCCAAGAGAAAGAGCACTTTCTTTCTTGCAGACAGACTACACCTACAAAACCAAAACAAAATGAAAGATAATTATCAAGTGAATCTGTAATAGTTACTTCATAGAAAGAATTTTTAACAGATTGGCTGCCATAAGTATCATGAAAGCAGAAACTAACTGCTTTCTTTGCTTTGGGTGTAAACTAGGCCACACATGAATGTCCCTCTTCTAGAAAAAGGACCAAACCAGGTTAAGTTTTCCACATTTCACAGATTAAGATAGTCTTATTCTATTTGATTTCCCAAAAGAAGAGATTTAATTATAAAGTATTGTTTCATTTGTCATCAAAAAGGTATTTTATATTACTGAAATGGTCATATTACATAAGCCTTACAGAAAATTATGCCTGACTTTTAGTAAATCAGACTTTTGAAACAGTATAGAACAATAGATATTAATTTGAAAATGAGAACGATTCACTTGGTTTGAGGTCACCTAAAGAACTGCATATGACTACAGCCCTAGGTTTACGCAGAGGATGGTGTCCCAGTTTGTAAGAGAGCCTTGTCTCTGCTTCCATGACTTTCCATTTGAGTGCAAAAATGTTGCCACTTATCAGTGACCACTGGAACCTCTCCAACAGTCAGTCCAGCTTCCTACCCAGAGGAGTACTAAGCCAGCTGATTGGCTCAGTGCAATCAGACAACAGCCCTCAGCCTCACAGTAGTCAAGGAACAAAGATTGGTGACCCGATACTCAAGAAGAAAAGGACGTAAAAGGCACAGGAGGGGAAAAAAGAGGCGAGGGAAGCATATAACCAACATAAACGTCCAGAAAGTCACATTCACTCCAAGAGTCAAAGGGAGAAATGCTTTACCTGGAGATACTCAGACAGGGATGGAATTTTTTTTTTAAATGTAACATAAATAAGGAAAACCGGTTTGAAACGGTCACTGAGGAAACCCAATTCATATAAACAAACTTAGCTAGAAGCTTTATAAGTACCTTCAGTGGGCAAGGATCTTTTACATACTAACATTTAAAAATGCAGTTTACTCAACAAATTCACTGAAAGATGTTCTGTTTCCTAAAGAATAACTGTTCTTTTCAGTGATTCCAGTTCTGCACGCGATTTCAAATTGAAGGGGGAATGGGTGGGGTGCAGAACATAAGAAATTTTTACAGCATGGAAATAAAAGTATTTTTAAACCTTCTTGGGGGTGAAAAGTTAGGCAAGAAGTAATACGTGGAAACTGTCAAGTGCTTCTCTACACATCCACCCACCAGATACCATCGCAGCCGGCTAGGGGAGTCTCCCTCTTCTTGCCTGACAGCCTCACTTTCTTTGAGGTCTGGAGCTGGTGATCACACTGGCCCGTCATGGTATTTTCATTTAACAAAGCAGTTACTCAACAGGGGAAAAAGCCACAAAGGAGCAGAGCAACTGCTGCTGCACCCGTGATGCAAGTGCAAGATGAGCCCCGGGCCGCCACCGCCGCCTCGGCTCCTCCGTGACGTCCGGGAGGGGTATCCCCGGCTCTCAGGAAGCGGTGGCCGCGGGCGGCTCCGCCCCCACGCGACTCGGGGCTGGCCGGGCCGCGGGGTGGCTGGACGGCCGGGCCTGCCGACTGGCGGGGATCGCCGTCCCACACCCGCGCACGCCCCGTGGGCCGCGTGTCCCGGGCCCTCCCCCGCGCCACCCCTGAGGGCAGGCGCCGCGCCCTGACTCGCCGTCCGCTCAAGTCACAGCCCGCGCGTCCCACTCTATCCCACAGCTCACACCCACTCACCCCGACCCCCTGCGCCGAGCCCGGCCCAGCGTCGCCGGTCACCAGACTGGGTCGAGCCGAGTCCAAGATGGCGACTCCACCCCCACCCCCTCCGCACTCCCCGCGGGGTCTGGGCGCCCCCTCACGCGGCGAGCTGGCGCCCTAGGCCCGGCTAAAAATAGCCAGGCCCGACTATATTTGGTGCGGCCGGATCCCGGCGCGGCCGCGCGCACCCGGCCCCGCCCCGCGCGCACCCCGCCCCGCCCCGCCCCGCCCGGCCCGGCCCGGCCCGGCCGAGAGCTGCTCTGAATGGAGAAGGGGCGGGGGTGACCGAGGGGAACCTACTCCGCTATCTGCCGCGCGCTGCGGCGGCGGGGCCCGGCCAACCGCCGAATTTAGTAACATTGCCTGCGTCAATCACGCGCCTCGCGTGCGTCAGTGCCGCGCGGCTCCAGGTCCTGCTACCCCCACCCGCCCGCCTTTGAATGGATGCAATGTAGCAGCGCCCTCCTTCTTTGTGAGACTGGATTGGAACCCGTCGCAGTTCAGAGGCTCTGTTCCTGTCCGCTAGGTCAACTTTCGTAGTACCCTTCCAGGTCTTCTCCACACCACCCTGTCTGAAGCGGAAGTGGAGGCGAAGAAATATACCCATAGCATATGTATAATTCTAGTTTTGTTTCCAAGTTTCTTGTGGTAGCTCGAACCTTCGATTCTGAATTGTGTGCTCCGCCCCCCCCACGCAAAGATTGTGACAAGTCAAAGACATAAATGTCACGTCTGATTCAAGCGGACCACATGGGGACCATGTCTGTCTGCATTGTTTCACTCAAATACTTTCTCCTCCTCAAAAAAATCATTTTTAAAAGAGGTTGTTTTCACCCAGCTGCAATCTTTGGAACTAGGAGACTTTAATTCTGATAAAATTTTGTTTTTGTTTTCAGCAAGAAATTCACACTTAAATTCATCACTTCCAGGAAGAAATTGCTCTCCCTAACAGAATCGCCCAGGCTTTCAGCTCACCATTTCATAACAACTGTGTCCCAGGAGACCAGAGCAAATCCCGTAGCGAGGGACTGACTAATAAATCCTGTTGACTGATTTCGAAATGTTTAATTGGGGAGGTGGGAGGGTAGGCCCGTCTACAACCATCAAAAAGTGAAAGTGCGAGCTGAGAGTTACATTTCTGATGGGAGGGGGTGATTTGCAAGTCAGACCCGCTCAGCTGTTCAACACGTGTGTTTGTTTTACACACAATAAGTAGTTTCTGCTGCAGCGCGCGCGGATGACGGATGTGCACTTAGTTGGGTTATAAAGTCCAGTTAGGAAACCCACATTTAAGTGTAAAGAAATAAAACCTTATCTTCCCAGAGCCATCGGTATCCCTGTGCGAAACACGCACCCAGCAAATGATGGGAGGAGGAGAGAGATTAGCCTAGGCGCAGGGAGCCAGAGAGACGTAAACAGCTTTAGAACTGTTGCTTGGGGAAAGAGCAGCACCTCGGGGAGTCTTCGGACTGGTGCCTGACTCCTGCACCCGCTGCCAGGTCACTCGGAGAAGCTGGCTGGCTGAGCCTTCCCTTTCGGAAGAGCTGTCCTCTCTCTTACCCCCTCGCCCTGGCTCCCTGCCTCGGGGCAGCCTCGGAGGCGCGCCAGTAGCACTCCTCCAACTCTACTCCACCCGAGTCTGACAGCTGGGCGGTCCCGCCTGACCCGCGGGCGGGCCGCTGCATCCTCTTACAGAATAGCGCCCGGGCAAGCAGCGCGGTTGCAAACGGGTTGGCAGCGCGGGTCCGAAAGGCCCCCGGGCCGGGACTGGCCGCGCGGCATAGTTTCCATTGCGCTACCCTGCAAATGGCCGGGGAACGCGCGCGCGCGCGCACACATGCACACACACCCCCTCCCTCGCACACGCGGAACCGGCTGGGCCAGGGGAGGGAGGAGGAGGGTGACGTAGCGTCCCATGGCGTCACATTGACGTCTCGCATTCCAGGCACTCTATGGAGAGGCCGCTAGGGCTCCTGTGGCATAAATGACGTGCCGAGAGAGAGAGCGAACGCGCAGCCGGGAGAGCGGAGTCTCCTGCCTCCCGCCCCCCACCCCTCCAGCTCCTGCTCCTCCTCCGCTCCCCACACACAGACAAGCTCACACCCGCTCCCTCACTCGCACACACATAGACACACGCGCGCACACACGCTCCTCACACACACTCCACTCTCTCCCGCGCGCTCACACCCCTCTCACCCTGTGCCCTCGCGGGTGCAGCGCTGCGCGGCAGGCGGACGCCCCTCCCGGTCTCACTTTGCAACGCTGACAGCGCCGGCGGTGGCTGTGGAGGTGGGAACAGAAGCGGCATCCTACCCCCTGGTCGCGGCCCGAGCCAGGACGCCCGCGGAACCCCTCGGCGGCGCTCTCCCATGAATCGGGATCTCAGCATCCCCTGCCAGCAGCTCACTGCCTCTGGGAGCCGCTGGACTTCTACACCGCAGCCCTTCCGGGACGGCAACTGTGACTCCCACCCCCCTCGCCGCCCCCAGTGCAGATTTCGGGGCAGCTTTCTAGAAACTCGCTCTAAAGACGGAACCGCCACAGCACTCAAGTACGTATGAGATTCGCTCGTTAATAGGGGGACTTGCTAAAAAGTTGGCGCGCTGGGAAGCTTAGCTTCTGAAATTGACAACTTTGAGTGTGGGGTTTTCCCCCCTCGCCTCCTCGCTCAGGCTTTGCTCGCGGAGTCGCCGGTGTGTTCTGATCTGAAACTTTTCCCCCGTAGCGGGCCTGCGGGGATCTCTGGAGCTTGTGGGATTCCTCTCCCTACCCAAAGAGGCGAAAAGCCTCTAACAAAGAGGAGGACCGGGATTTGTGCAGTAGCAGCTCCAGCGATGTAATTCAGGGTATTTCGGCTCTAGTTGTCATGGTAATGATGCTCTAGGCGGCGGCAGCGGCAGGGAGTTGCAGCTCCGGTGATGAACGGCAGTAATTTTCCTGCCTTTTAACTAGGGTTGAAAATAGGGGCTCCGGTGGGTCCAAGTTAATATGCCTAATGGTGACTCCGAGATGGTTGACTGGGAGGAAGCTTGGGAGGGAAGGGGCCTGGTCAGCAGCGGCCGGAGTTTGCAGCGGCGCTCCGAGGATCTCAGGAAAGAGGGCGTAATTGTAGGAATGTGGCTTATTGTATTGAAATGAGCCTGGGGCTCCACCAGGCACGTCTGCCTGGCGTCGCCGACTTGCCCGTTTACACTTTTCTCTTCGGAGGTAATCGGGTGTAATTGCCGACCCCAGTGCCCCGACACGCGTGGGAACGGTGTCCGTCTCCTCCGGGCCTTGAGTCGGTATGGGAGAGGCGTGTTTTACTCTTAACTGACAGAACTCGCGCTTTTGGAGAAGTTGCTTGTAGTGTTTTACTCTTCATAGAAATGAAAGTTCTCGGTGGTGAGAGGAGAGCGGTCAAGCGGGCGCAGCCTGCGGAGGCTGACTTCCAAAGGCACCTCTCGAACCTGTTGGAAGCTTGGGTCAGTCGTGAGGGAGAAAGCATTTGTCCCTTCATTCCAAAGAACGTTCTTGGAGATTGTCATTTATTTATTATGCCCACGGATTCTCCAGAGGGAAGAGCTGCAAGGAGTTGGGTAATCAGAAATCTCGGGCTATTATCCCAGAGCCCTAGGGTGCCAGGAGAGAGGTACAGGGCGCCCTTCAGTCATTTCATCGCGAATCCAATCCTGAATCTTCTTTTCCCACGACGGAGAAATATTTTGTAGAACTGAGCTAGGGAAAGGAACAGCTGCCTAACGCGGCTGCTGAGCACAATGAATGAAGTTTGAGTTTCTTCGAGTTCTCTTATCCGAGCAAGACGCTCGTAATGTGAATGTCAAAGACCTCTTAGGCCACAGCAGCCTCCACACCCGCTCTCTGCCCCGCACCCCCACCCCCCCCCCCCCACCCCCGCCCCCGCTTCCCTGGGACCGTGCGCTCGCAGAAATTCTCCCCCGCGGTTTGTCTCCTCTCCCTCTGTCTTTCTGAGAATCTCTGCCTTTGCCTTTCTGTCGGTCTCTTCTCCACTCCTCCTGCCCCCGCCCAACCTCCGCCCCCGCTCCCCAGGGTTGGAAACTCCGTGGAGGAGCCCCGGTCACAATGGTGCGTTTCACGGTTTCCTTCACACACTTCACCACGGGGAGGGGAACACGGGGGTGTTCCTTTCGTCTGCCCACGAGAAAGAAAGGGGCTTTGACAGAGGTAGTTATTTATTCCTAATTTACAACCCCGAGGCTCCGTGCTCCCGGCCGCGGCGGCCGCGAGCGGGAGCGGAGCAACGTGTTTCCAGGCTCTGAGGCTTTGCCTAGGTAACCGGTCGTTTCGGGGCGGGGGGGTAGGGGGAGCGGAGAGAGCCGAGGGGCGCTCGGCTCGGCGGCTGTAGGAAGTGCAGTGTGGCTCTTCCCCGTGAACGCTGGGCGCTTGAGGGGAGCCCCTTCCTTGGGGAGAAGCTACCCTCGCCCACCCCAGTCAGAGGCCTATCCTTGGAGAAAGACTCCGCTTGAAAGGCCGCGGAGACGGGCGGGAATGCGGGCACCTGGAGGAGGTGGTGGGAGGTTGCCAGAGACTCCCACTGAAGATGCGGGAGGGACGGGAAGCGCAAGCTACAGCCGTGGGAAGATCCGCCCTTGACTGCGCTAGGGCGAGCGCAGGCTTTCTGTAGTATCAGCTGGGGCTGGGGTTGGGGATGGCAAGGGAATCCCCCATTTCCTGGCCGTCGAGGGCTCCCCGGATCTGGGGGCTCCGATACCCTCTTTCCTTTCAGGCAAGCCCGGGGCGCAGGGGCGGCGGGAGACGAAACTTACCCGACACCCGCGGCCCGCGCACCCCCGAGGTTTTTGGAATTTTGGTAGTTTGGGTTTTTTTATTTTTCGAGTCCCTGTTCCCATCCGTTAAGCTGCGAGTGGGTGCGGGCAAAGGGGGCGCTATAGGCCGGAGTTTGGGGCCGTGGGATCCTTACCCGAGGCCCGCCGAAATGAGCTTCTAGCTACAAAGTTTCGCTAAGGCTTTGCGCAGAGACGCTCACCCCAGAGCCGCTCTCGGCGCCCTCCGGAATGTGCCCCCCTCCGGGTCGCCGGATGGCCCCGAGCCTCGAAGTCGCCCACCCTCTGGGATACCGCCCGCTGGGCGCAGGGGGCCTCCCTCCCCTCTCACCACCAGCCGCAAACGCCAACCGCCTTGTGCCTCGTTTCCAGCGTCGGCCTATTTCC